TGAGTTTCTGGCTTTCCTTCCTGTGTGGCACACGTGCCGTTTCTTTAGAGGGAGATCACTGGCAAGGGGGCAAAGATCACAAGTCTCGTTGTCCGTGTGAGTGTCCGGAGTGCTCTGAACTATCCAAAAATCGTGGGACCTGTGAGACTGTAGATAAAGAGAGAGATCAAGTTGAATCAGCAGCGGGTGGACAGGTATAGATGGATGGAGCTGGAAGCAAGGCCAGGCCTGGACCCGCAGAGCTCTGAGGCTGCACGACAGGGCAGAGACAAGGGCCAAAGCCAGCCCTGGAGGAAGGGAGCAACACGAGGAGGCAGCACGGGAACCAATGGAGCAGTCTCCAGAAGGTGGGAGCGACTACTCAAGTCATCAAGGTGGGATCCTGCCAGGAGCGCAAGCAGATGATGTACCAAGTGCCCTGGTGCCCAGCTACAGGGACAGCAGTGTGAGTGCTGAGTTAGCAGGCAGGCCTGGGAAGGGACTCCAGAGGGCAGAGCAAAGTTGAGGTTCACACCTGAGCCCCAGGTTCTCCCCAGAGGCTTCTCACACAGCACACGTGGGAGCTCATTGAAGAGGCAGCTCCTGGGCCCACCACCAACTACCAGGGACCCACCAAATCAGCCTGCACTTGAAAAAGCGCCCCAGGAACTTGGTGTGCACACTCAAGTGTGAGAACATTGCCTGCTGAGTCATCAGCACATCAGAGGCTGGATGGGAACGCTCAGACTAACTGTGCAGGGTTCCAGGGGCGACTCTTCAGGAAATGCCCGTCTCCTCAAGCTCCATTCTTTAACTCACAACCCAGGGCTGGTGTGCTAGTGCCTTGCAGTGCCAGCATCCCATATAGATACCGGTTTGTGTCCCAGCTACTCCACTTCCCATCCAGCTCCCTGCTTATGGCCTGCGAAAGCAGCAGAAGATGGCCCCAAAGCCTTGGGACCCTGCACTCATGTAGGAAACCTGGAGGAGGCTCCTGGCTCCTGGCTTCAGCTCTGGCTCTTGGGCCATTTGGAGAGTGAACCAGTGAACAGAAAACCTATCTTGCTCTGTCTCTCCTTCTCTCTGTAAATCTGTTTTTCCAATTAAAATAAATAAATCTTTTTTTAAAAAAAAAGGAAAATTCACCTTTTCCCCACCCTAACCCCTTTAGTTCACAACTCCGCTTGCATGTAGGCATCAGGTGGGTGGCACTTAAAAAAAAACAAAGCCAGAGGAGCCCAGATCCTGCTCCCTGTGGGCTATGATTCAGGAGGTGTAGGGGGTGGACACCCAGCATCTCTCCTTTTACTATGAAGCAGACTGTGTGAGCGGCCGAGGTAACAGGTGCCACCCTCAGCTGTCAGCCCCTCCCTTTACACATGCCTGTCTCACACTGATCTTTGGCGACATCCGCTGCCCTCTGGCGCTGGGGCCTGCCTGGGTCTCCGGAATCCTGATGGTGTCTCTGATAGGACAGACAGCATGCTTCGCCTCCGGCACATAAGAGCCTTTCCAGCACCGATTTTTCACCTGTGCTTAGGCACCAGCAGGTGGTGCTTAGACCCCAGACAAGGGCCAGGTTGCCTGTTGTATGGGCGCATGGGCAGAGTGACATCACCCTGGCTCTGGCCTGAGTCCCGTAATCTTGGGGTCAGATGAGTGGACTGAAGACCATTCCCTTATCTGACCCTCATCAGATGTACGTGTTCAAGACTGAGCCGGGAAAGTTGCAGCAAACGATCCGGGCCACAGCACAGAACATAGACACTTGAGTGATGTGCCATTCTGATAGGCTACACCACCAGAGACCTCCCCCAATACGTGTGCGTGCCCACAGGACTATGGTGCTGCAGAAGGGGTGTGCCATACCTCTAATGAGACAACAGGGAAGAATCCTAACATAGCTGCTATCAAAAAGTCGTCACGGACTGAGCAACTGGGGCTGTACTGAGATCTTTGTTTTGGAGGAGAATGCCACCAGTGGCCCCAGGCGGAGCCCTCAGTGGGCTTCCCCCGGAGCTGGGCTCCATCCTTGCGGAGCACGCTGCTATGCTCTGCATCACATTACAGCTTGCACAGGCTCTGCCTACTGAGAAATTCCCCAGAATAGGAGAGCCTTGTGCACAAATTGGAGTATTTTCTTTGGGAGCAACCTGGCACATGGTGACTTTGGCAGGGGGGCAACTTTGAGCTCATCCCCTGTGACCTCAGGCTCCCTTTCCTGGCAAGTACCTGCCAGATCAGAGCTCTCAAATCCTCATCCATCAAAGTCCAGTGACAGCCTCGGCCCCTACACGCTCCCGCACTCAGAGAGTGACAGCTGCAGGAACACCTGGCAGTTACCAAGTGTGTCATGTGTGCCCAGCACTGTTCTGAGAGTTTTACCCTGCGTGCATTCAGCCAGCCTCTGTGTCATCCTGTGTAAAAGACAGCATGCATTTTGTACAATAAAAGTTGCCCTCTACATCTCACAGACTAGGAAACTGAGGTTTTGCAAGATGAAGCAATGTGCCCACACTGCAGTCAGCTAAGGGTGGACTGGGGCTGGCATCAGCCCCCTGATGCACCTGTGGCGGCAGAGGCATTTCAAGGGGGCAGGGAAGAGGGCAACACCTCCCAGGCAGACAGGTGCACAGGCGTGTGTCAGTTGACTTGCTGCAAAGCATCTGCATGCAGCGATATAGGCCTTCGGACTGGTTTTCAATTCCCCAGCATAGCAACCTGTGACACTTCCATACGACCTCACATGATAGTTTCTGCGACCCTGAAGCCTGAGGAGTCCTAGGCATGTTGTCCCCAGCCCAGTGTCTCCTTGCCTGACAATCACTGGGCACAGCTGGGTGGATAAAGGGAAAGGCCAGTAGGTCCTGTAAAGCCCAGTTCAAGTTTCATCTCTTCTGGGAAACTTTCCAGGATTTCCTTAGCTGCTCTCTGGGCTTCTCACATCTGTGAAGGAGTAAGTGGTGTCCCTGTGGTCACACTGAGGCAGGATGGGGAGGGGTGCCTGGTGGGTCTCAGGTTTGATCACTGAAGGTGCAATGGCTATTTCAAACCCCCGCTGGCTTTGTCATGATGCCTTGAGGCCGCCACCCAGGCGGGCTTCCCCTACTCTGTGCTCTAACCCATTTTTCCCCAAGTGTAAGGTATGCAGGAAGTGAAGGTCATGGGCAGGCTGGGAGGGGCAGAGGCGGCAGCAGGCGCAGCCCCAAGGCACACTGTCTGAAAACAGGCCTAGAAACTGGTTCTGCCACCCCAAGTTCACCCAGGGGTCACCCTTCTTTGCAGGAAGGACCAGACCACCCCAGAGCAGAGGCCACCTTCCATGCTGAGCTGGGTCAGCTCTTTGCCAGTTTGTCTCCTAAGACAAAATGACAGCTTTTTATTTGTGCCTGGGCTGCAGCCAGACCCTGAATCTGCGGTGGTGGAAACGGCAGAGGGCCACTGTCTTTGGGCCAGATTCCCTCGGGGCTTGAAGCAATCTCCCAGCCTGAGCTCCCTGTGACTGTGGCTATTCCAGGGACCCTCTTGCTGTGGCACCCCCATGTCTATGTGCTCGGTAGAGACAGTGGATGAAGGAATGAACCAGCCAGGCTGAGTAGGCTGATGAGAGGCCTCTGCCCTGAGCCACAGGAACCTCCTGGCAGCTGCTGTCCCAGGCTGGCCCAGTTGGCCCTTCCTAGCCCCATCTCCCAACCCTTCGGCCAACCCCTACCCCAGCACGGGGCTGCCTGCCACTTATGGGTCCTAAGGCCCGAGTTTTCAATTCTGTTTTTCTTTATTTCTTTTAATTTTATTTGAAAAGCAGAGCAAGAGGAAGAGAAAAGGTGGGAGGAAGGGAGCGAGAGAGAGAGAAAGAAACACAGATCTCCTATAGACTGGTTCATGTCCGCAAATGCCCACATTCGCTGAAACTGAATGAGGCCCAAACCAGAAGCTGAGAATTCAATGCAAGTTGCCCACATAGGGGCAGAGACCCAACTCTCTGAACTCTCCGGAATAGGCATCAGCAGGAAGCCAGAATCAGAAGTGGAGTGAGATGCCAACCCAGGCTCTCCGAGGTAGGATTTGTGCATGTCCAGGGATGCCTTAACTGCTAGGCCAAATGCCTGCCCCGGAGTTGGGTGTTGAGACACGGGCCAGGAAAGAGAGCCTAGGCCTGGGTCTCCCTCCACAGGCTACGGGCCAGGCGGACCTCGGCTGACCAGGGTGTGTTACAGGGTAAGCTCCAAGCCAGGACCTCCTAGGGGCGCCTGGGTTTCCTGCTTTAGCTCCTTACATCCTCAGTATTGTCGTGTCCCGGAAACCCACAGCAATTTCTAAAGGCCAAACACGTAGAACTAAAGGTATTAAGGAGCTTCCCGGCTTCCCCCTCACCCGCCATCGCTTCTCTCCATTCTACTCCCTTCCTGGGCCCAGGCACCGTAAAGCCAAGACTTGGCTTGCTCTCAGAGGCTCCAAGGGCCTCCACGGGGCTGTTTAGCACCTGCTCTGGATTTCCCCCTACTGTTTGATTTCTCTCAGAAGGGTTTCCCATTTCTCAGAGTTTCCATAATGGCCAAGGGGTGTCAGTCTTTGGAAAGGGATTTTCTAGTGTTTTCTGAAGAGCTTCTCTTGCTTTGGGTCAGGTGGCTTGCTTCTCTGCCCCAGTGGCCCTGTGTGCGATGCTCACAGAAGCACTGCTGTTTAGGCAACGGTTAAAACCCCGGAGAGTGAAAGTAGCCAGCCCATGTCCTGGATTTTCAGGATGATCCTAATTTCAAATGCCTTGTCCCCTACTTGGGCCTCGCCCCATACAATTATGAATTCTTCACACCAGCAATGGGTTTTACTGATTTTCTGCCTGGGCCGCTGGCTGGGAAGTGCTGCCTGAACCACGGAGTGTGTGATTGTGCCCAGTGGGAACATGACTGGGAAACCAAGGTGACTGTAGGAGCCTCTCTCTCTCTCTCTCTCTCTCTCTCTTTGCCCTGGACCCCGAGTCCTACCCTGCCCTGGACCCCAGACAGGGAGGGGCTACTCACCTGTACAGAGCATCCACAGCACAAGCCGCATCCTCCCCGCCATGCTTGCTCCCTCCACCGCCCACGCGTCGGCACGCACTAGCAGGAACTGCACAGGGCTGGGCTGACTGCTCCCAGCTCCAGCTGCCCCCTGGCCAGGCCCAACCTCAGATGCCTGCAGTTCTCTTCCTGCCCTCTCTGCCTAGCCTGGCCCACACGCCCCACCCCTCAGGCAGACTGGCAGGTGAGTTCACCTGTGGGGCTGGGTGCGCACGCTCCTCCTCCTCCCCCAGAAAGCCCAGGAAGAGGCTCCTCGGGCTTTTCTGCTAGCCTGTCTCCTCCCTGTCTTCCTTCTATTTAGTAGGTGTCCAAAGTCCCGGGCTTCCCCACCAAGGTGTGGGCCTCACCTGCAACTGGTAGGGATTGCTGCCTTGTAATAAAAAGGGAAATGATCTCAGAGGCAGGGCTCTAGGGTAGTAAAAGAAGGGTGGTGCCCACATTTGCAGGGGCAACACGCCTTAGGATCTGTTCCTTTGCTCCCTTTTTCTCCTGCAGGACCCAGCCCACCCCACAGTAAAGAAACAGTCAGGCAGAGAGCAGGAGGGGCCTGCCCTCATGGTGTAGGATCTGCTGGGAAAGCAGTGTAGACACAGGTAAATGAAGGCGATAATCTTGCAGAGTGTGACTGCTCTGCCTCGCATCTCCTAGACTGTTGCGCTGTCCTGAAACTTCCTCTGTTCCCTGCAGACAGACCGGGATCCTGACCATCCAACTTGAGAGAACAATGCTGTCAGGAACATAACACTCCAGGAGCAACCACTAATGCCAGCCTTCCATTTATACTCTACAGATTGATACATAAATACATCATAAATGAGAGCACGCCACACAGGCTGTGCTACAGCAAGGTTTTATTTCATTTTTACTTTTCACTGAGCAAAAGCCCACAGATAATTTTCTATGGCAATGCATAGAACAAAATCATCTTCTATATTTCTAGGTCTGGGCAGTTTGTTAACTCATATTTTCATTAAGTTGTGGATCCTTAGCTTGTTGATTTCTAGCAGCTCTTTATATATTAGAAAAACCAACTTTTGGATCTGAGAAGTACCGCAATTTTTTCCCAGTTTTTTTTTTTTTTTTGCATTATAATTTCAGAATTTCCTCAATCAATTATTTTATCAATCCCCTGTGGCTACTGGGCTTATTACATTTTATTCAGTCACGTTTATTAGATTCTTTTATTACATATTGTAATTCTCATCCCCAACATATAACAATACCTTTCCCAAGTTAGTCCTCCTAATAAACAGCCTTAATGTGTGTTGGGGTCCTAGCATTGATTCTATAAGACTTGATAAATGAAGTTAAACTCCTGACATTAGCCTGTAAGGTGTCCTAGCATTTGTTTCTCAGTGTAGTCTACCTTCCAAAATAATTCTGAAGAATGTGTGATTTATGACTCAACCAAGCTAGAAATCTGTCTTTTCCCACCCAGAATTCACCCTTTCCCACCCAGAACTTTGTTTATGCATCCTCTTGTGTAATCTCTTTCCTTTCTCTGTTGGTTGTTATAATTTGACTTGTGTGTAAAAACCAGTTTAGTTGGAGCCAAGGAGTAGCATAGTAAGCTCATCTTCCACCTGTAAGTGCCAGAATCCCAAGTGGACATCAGTTCGTGTCCCAGCTGCTCCACTTCCCATCCAGCTCCCTGCCTGTGGCCTGGAAAAGCAGCAGAGGATGGCCCAAAGCCCTGGGATTCTGTCCCCACGTGGGAGACCTATAAGAAGCTCTTGGTTCCTGGCTTCGGATCAGCTCAGCTCTGGCCATTGCAACCATTTGGGGAGTGGCCTGGAAGATGGAAGAACTTTCTCTCTCTCTTGTTCTCTCTATAAATCTACCTTTCCAATAAATAAATCTTTTTTTTTTAAGCCAACTTAGTTGGAAGTTAAAAAATGGAATTAAAAGATAAGTTTCTTTTGTTGAAAAAAAATGTAGAATGCATACACAGTTTCTTCCTAGCATGCTGTTGCATGCAGAGGAGCCAGCACTGTGGCCCTGAGGAATGTCACTGCTGAGACACTGCCATCCCATAGTAGAGGGCTGCTTTGGGCCCCAGCAGTTCCCCTTCCAGTCCAACTCCCTGTTAATGTGTCCAGAAAGACAACAGGTGACTGCCCAAGTGCTTGGGCCCTTACCACCCATGGAGGATGCCAGGCTGAAGCTCCCGGCTCCGGATTTTAACTTGGTCCAGGCCAGGCTGGATGGAAAATCTCCATCTTTTTCTTACCCCCCTCTCCCTATGTTTCTCCCTCTCTCTGTCACTCTGCCTTTTCAATAAATGGAATCTTAAAAAATACATATATATATATAAAATATATATAAATACGTAAAATGCATATATATATATATATATATTTTAAAGGCCCTCGTTTGTCAGCATTGTTTTCTTTATGAGTTCTTTGGTCACAGGGCTGTCTCCTTTTTGAAACTCACACAGCTCTCAGACATCTTTAGGACCCTAACTCCATTCTCTCTTGTGCTTGAGTTATTTTAGATCTGTGTCTCATTCCTCCTAATAAACTGTGATCTCATTCATTCATTTGGCTGATTACTAATGATACTGTGTGCCGGGCATTGTGCCACCTAACTAAGAAGATGGACGATTTTAAGCTATGAGTCTTACTGACTTCGGTCATGTACGGTGCCTGATGCGTTGTGGACAATCAGCTGGTACTTTCGAGTGTGTAGACAAGCAGATGCGCACAGGACTGGATGAAGGGGGTGATTACAGAGTCCGTAGGATTACAGTGGTGAATGATTGGATTACTTGGGTTTGCATTGACCACAGTGATAGCTCATATGAAGTTTATAAAGCTCATGGAATTTCTGTATCACCCAGGGTTGTCAATCATCCCCGCCTGGGGGGGGGGGGTATCAGCCGGGGGTGTAGGGCATGGAACAGGACCACAGCTGCCCGGCTTCCTGTCCAGAGATGTCTGTTTAAAGAAATGTTATCCTGGTCCCCAACCACAGCCACTCCTCAGTCACACCACGGCGCTCTCTGGTGTCTCTCTAGGGCCTCCCTGTGGACGTGGGGCTGAGGGCAGTTCTTTCATTCTTCCAGATCCTTCAATTCCCACTGTCTTCTGGGAGGACTTGAACAGCCCCAGGTGGGAGGGGCTGGAGAGAGCCCAGAGAAAACCTTTGTGTTGTCCTGGCCACCTGCTAAGTTGGCTTGGGGAGAATTAGCCAGGAGGCAAAGAGTTAAGCGTAGCTGAGGGGGGGGGGGGGTACAGCCTACTGGCTCTCTCTGGGTCCTGAGCCTGCATTCCTTCCTCGCAGAGGACTGCCAGCCTGTGGGGCCAGAGGCTAAATTTAGAGGGTGGCTAAGGTTTCTTGTTAACAGCTGTCCTGCCCCTCAAGAGAAGCAGCAGTAGGAGGGGCGAGGTTAGTCTCCCAAAGGCTCATTTCCTCTGGGACGAGTTAAGCTGCTGGTGGGGACGGACAGACGGACAAGCAGGCAGTGGTGAGCGTATTCTGAACCTTATTTCTATCGTGGGGGGCTGGGACTTCTGAATCAAGGCCCCCAGCAGTTCCAGTCTGAGGGGCAAGGACCAGCCAGGAGGTCTGGGACCACCTGCTGGGAGACTTCACGTCCCTTTTTAAGAGGCTGTGGGATAGTACTGGAGCCCAAGGCCTCAGCTCCAAGGCCTTGGATTAATTTTCAGAAGAGGCCACCTGTATCATCCCAGGAGAGACAAAAGGTTTTTGCATGAGGTAGGTAGTGAGTGTGGGTGGTGTGAGTGTGTCACGCGCAGCCTACAATTTTAACAGCCCATCTCAGCCTCTCTGTGGGATCTGTGGAGCGAGCCAGCTTGTTATTCTTCATTAATGAGACTCCAAAGTGGCCTACTCACATGGCCAAGCTGAGCTTCTGGGTATCCCAGGAACAACAGCTAAGCAGGGTCTTTTTCCCCTTGGGGCCTTTACCCACCAGGGGTTAGCAGGTGGTGACCTTCAGAGATGACATCACCCCCCCAAACACCCCCTCCCCCACAAAACCTCTAGAACACAATTTCCTAATGGCCTTTCTCCTCCTTCCATCCTCACAGAGGCCAACAGGCTGCCATGGCGACCCAGGGGGACCCAGAGGAGGAGCAGGTGGTCCCAAGCGAGGAGGATGAAGCAGACGTCAGGGCGGTGCAGGCCCGGTACCTGCGGAGCCCCTCTCCCAGCCAGTAAGTGTGCAGCGCTGAGCTACCCGCCCCCTTCCTATGACCATGATGGCGCATGATGCAGGGTGTGCCCAGGGAGCCCCAGCCACCCGCTTAAGCGCACACAAGCCACAGACCACAGACACTGCTGCCTGAGCTTGTAAATCAGGCCCTTGGAGAAGGCATGCCCACAGCTGATTGCAAAGAGGCCTGGCAGGCACTTGAGATAGTAGGGTGTGTGGAGAGCTAGGCTAGGGCACAACTGCACTTGGCATGCTGAGAGAAAGGTTTCCAGAGGAGGGCAAGCTGGACCGGAACCTCCAAGAGGACCAGGAGCTTGGCAGGGCTACGTGCAGTTGGTGCTTAACTCACCGGGATTACGGCTGGATAAAGTGATGGTGCCTGTGGAACCTAACAGAACAGATCAGGAGGGGAGGAGAAGGCCCATAGAGCCAGGTCCTGGATGAAAATAATTTTCGCATTTGTGATACAGTTGTGTTGCTCAAACCAAGAACCGTGCATGCCCGTGGCAAAGACAGGGTGCTGAGGGGTGGGAAACACTAGTTATCCCCCTGCAAGGTCCTTTCAGCCTTGTGAGAACTAATCTAGAACTTTCTTTGACCTCAAAGCCATGAAGGGTAGACCATGTTGAAGAATGGCAGATCTGTATGAATCTGTAAGAAAAACCATGAGGCGCTAATGACACGTCATCTTAATCGCCTGCCAAAGCTGTGTGAGAGGGGGCGGGGAAGGGTGCCTGTCTGTTATCTCCCACCATAGATGAGAGTTAAGCCCTAACTTCAACTTATAGATGGCTCTGTCGCCAGATTTGTGTGGAGACTCACTTAAATAATTGAGGTCACATCTCCTGGACTGTGAAAAGGGAAGGAAGCCCCCCCCCCCCAAAATAGCTCAAGCTATTAATCGTATTTAACTGCACCACTTAATGTCTGCCACGAGCCTTGTCTGCCCTGTTCCTGGGTGTTCTGGGATTTTGCTGGCTCAACACGCTTCCCCACCATAGCCAGACAAGAACCAGACAGCTGGGTCATCCTGCCCAGGGCTAGAGCACTTCACCCAGATGGGGTTTGGAGATTTTTGCCTTTTCAAATTTTTCATTACAACAACTAAAAGTCAAGTAAATAAATAAATAAAAGGAACCAAAAATCCTCATTTATGTTCCCACTTGGAACCACTGTCAAGATGGAGAAATTAAAAATGCAAAGGGACAGCTTTGCGAGCAACTTCGGTGGGCACTTCTTCCTTGCTCGGCGCATTCCCCAGCAGGCACCTGAGTGGAGGTTCTGGTGCTGTGGCTCCTTCTGGCTCCTGAATCTGTTGTTTTAGAGCCTTGTCCGAGTGCAGTCAAATCGGGGAAGAGCATAGAGAGTCTCCTAGAAAGGTGTTATGGACCAATTTTGCAAAGAGCCATTTCACTTCCTCTCACATCACATTGGCTGGAATGCAGCAAGGCCTTGCGTTCTCACAGGGGAGGCTAGGTGGGAAGGCCCATGGGCCCAGCACACTGAGCCAGTAAGTTTGGCTCAGCCAGTGCACTCTGTTGCCTTTGTTCCCACACTTAGAACACACTAGCAGCCTTCCAAGTGAGACTGCTTCAAAATCTGATGTGCCAATTGCTGCAGGCATGGTTCAAGAGTGTAAGATGGTTGGTTCAACAGGTATGCACCTTCTCCCTTGGGCCTGAATGCAACCTGTATGGTCTGGCCAGGACAACTGCAGAAAAAAGCTCTTGTTTAGTAAAAGGAGCATTGGGATGCTCAGCAGTCATGTCACTAACAAACGTGCCTGAGCCAGCCCTGGGGAGGCCTCCTAGAGCTAACCTTGACTCCACTCTGGAAGGAACTCCTTTATCTACTGTTCTTTCCACCTCTGGCTCTAGCCTTGGGTTGTTTGTTTTTGTTTGTTTTTAATTTTTTTATTTGAAAGACAGAGAGAAAGGGAGATACATATAGAGAGGAAGAGAGGTCTTGCATCCACTGATTCCCACCCAAATGGCTGCAACGCCAGGGTTGGGCCAGACCAAAGCAAAGAGCCAAGTACTTCTTCCAGTCTCCCTCGTGGGTGCAGGGCCCAAGGACTTGGGCCATCCTTCACTGCTTCCCCAGGCACACTGGTAGGGAGCTGGACTGGAAATGGAGCAGGGTGACCATTGCTACAGGAAACAGTTAACCCTGCCTGCCATGGTGCTAGCCCTCAAGCTCTTCTAGTCCATCCCTCTGACTGTAGAGACACAACAGGTTGCTGATCTATGATCTATGTAGGTTACTCCATGTATTGATAAGTGCATCTGAAGTCCTTTCCTAGGCATAGCTTCCAATATTGACTTATTTCTTTACTTCCTTGTCTCATTTTAATAGCAGTTACCTTGAAACGTTGACTGAAGTGGTAACTGTGGGTGGAAAGTCCAGTAGTTCCAGCAGGAGGCTGGATCAGAAGTGGAGCAGCTATGATAGGAACTGGCATTTTGCCATGGAATGGCAGGATCACCAATGGCAGCATAACCCACTACCACACAACACCAGCCCCTATAGTGCAATTTTTAGAAGATTTCACAACAGAATATTTCATTAAAAATGAAAGATGCAATAATAATAAAATAAAATCTATGCAAAAGCAGAAAGAAAGAAGAGAAAAAGCATAATACACAAGAAGGAAATGGTAGATTTATTCCCTATATATGTATAAGTAGTTGCATTAAAGGCAACTAAATTAAACACCCTAAAGACAAAAACTGTCAGATTCAATTGTTTTTAAAAGCCTATATACAGTTTGCAAGAGATACACCTTGAAAACAGGAATATATAAAGGCCAATAAATAGGGAAGTTGCAATGCACTATTTTCCTGGCTATTTGTCATGACATTAACATTTTGTGGTATAAAGCACCCATCACAGGTGGGCACCGGTTTGTACCCCAGATGCCCCACTTCGGATCCATTTCCCTGCTAATGTGTCTGAGGAGCATTTGAAGGATGATCCAAGCATTTGGCTCCTTCACCCACTTGGGAGACGTGGATGAAGCTTCTGGCTCCTGGCTTCAGACCTGCTTAGCTCTGACCATCACATACGTTTGCGCAGTAGACTAATAAAAGAGCTCTCTGTCTTGTGCTCTTTGTCTGTCTATAACTTTGCCTTTTAAATAAAATTAATAAATCTTTAATGAATAAAGCAATAAGCAGAATCAACCTACTAGCATATGCAGGACATACACCCCCAACATCAGGATGAACAGTCCAGCCTGATCATGCTGTTGTAGGGCTTTTGACCCCGAATACGGCAGCAACCTCAATTCTTGTCTCGCAAGAAAGAAGAATTTTCGTGCGGACACAGTTTAGTTTTAAAGCAAGATTTATTAGAAAAGCCGAGAAGAGAGACTCCCGTCCTAGTGACGGGAGGGGGCTTTGAAATAGGAAGGACCCTTACCCTCTGCCATAGTGGCAGGAGGAAAAGAAGAACCAGTATTAATGGTGGGGAAGGCACCTTTTAAAGGTTTCCCTGAAAGATGTTGCTCCATAAACAAAGAAAATTCCTGGTTTCCATGGTACCTGGCCTTGGGACAAAAGGCCAGAAAGGTGTCACTGGCCAAGTTCCTTGGTCCCTTTCTAATGATAAAGAGGCCAGTCTGAAGCCCTCCCCCTTGGCAATGGCCGGAGACGGGATGGGGCTGAGGCTTCAGGTGGGGAATTGATATGTTAATGTCACCCTTGTCTCTTGGAAGAGGCATGCTCTGGTGAATCTAAGACATGGTGGGGGATTTTATATTTGAGATAAAAATGACTTGGGGACCCAGAATACCCTAACTGCCTACTGCCCAGTCTAACTCCTCTCTCAATGTGCACACGTAACATTCACCAAAATAGGTCATATATTGATCCAACATATAAAAACAAACCTGTTGGGCCCAGCACGGTAGCATAGAGGCTAACTCCCCACCTTGCAACTGCCAGGATCCCATGTGGGAGCCGGTTCATGTCCCAGCTGCTCCACTTCCTATCCAGCTCCCTGCTTGTAGCCTGGAAAGGTAGTTGAGATCAGCTCAAAATCTTGGGACCCCGCACCCACATATGAGACCTGGAGGAAGCTCCTGGCTCCTGGTTTTGGATCAGCTCAGTTCTGGCCATTGCAGCCACTTGGGGCATGAACCAGCAAATGAAAGCTCTTTCTCCCTATCTCTTCTCTCTATAAATCTGCCTTTCCAATATAAATAAATAGATCTTTTAAAATGATTTACTCATTTTCCTATTTTATTTATCTACTTTTTTTTTCCTCCCTGAGAAACAAGGAGAAAAAGAAGAGAGACAAATAGACAGTGAGAGTTCCCAATGCCAGTTCACCCTCCACATGCCTGCAGCTGCCCCATGCTGGCTGGGGGCCAGAGCTGGGAATACAACCCAGCCTCCCATGTGGGTGGCAGGAACCCAGTTCCTCAACCCATCACCTGCTACTGCTCAGGGTGTGCATTAACAGGAATCAGGAACTTGGACTCCAACCTAGGCGTGCTGATATAGGGTGCGGGCTGCAGGAGGCCAGCTCCAGCTGAGTTTGGAACTCGCGAAGGGTGCATGGATGAGGCGCAAAGAGGAAAAGAAAGAGACGGACCACTAGGAATTCTTGATCATAATGGATGATGCACAAAAGCTGTCCGCTTTATTTATACAAAATCAGTCAAACTCTGGCTCAGACTTTTTACATCATGGTCAAGTGGGTGCTTCTAAAGATAACTGCCATTCGTTTCACCTAAGGCTAGGATGTTATCCACCTGGCGCCATGGCTAGGAAAAAGTTCTCAGTAGATGGTGCATATCGATCAGTAACACATTCCTATCACAATTCTCATTCTGCAGCTTGGTCTTGAGATAGTCAAGGAAGGAAGAACTTCACAGGAGGGACCTGAAAGATCAAAGAAAGAGGGAAAGAATAGATTCCACTACACCCTTGATTAGCATATTGCCACAGGATGCAGCAATAACAGCTTCTAAGCTGCTATTGATATTTAACAGTAACT